TTTCACAAAAATGTGTTTCTATTCAGGGGTATTCAAATTGGCTTAATTCTCTTCCAATTGCTCATTCAACACTTCTCTAAAAAGGGCTTTTTTAACCTCTCTGGAGTGTCCCACATTCTGTGTAGCTTTCTACCCGGTGTATCGAAATTTTTATATGGAAGGTGCTGGACGTATTTTTGTAAATGATGCTGTAATTTGTTTGCTTTTAAGTGTTCTGAACTGATTTTGCAGAAATAAAGAGGCTGCAAGTAATACAAACCGGTCCAAGGTTCAAACTCGTCATGTAGGTACTTTGGTCCACAAACGATTGTACCTTGGTCCAAAGTAAAGAGAGAAATAAAACTTAGTCTAATATTCTACATATAATATTCCCAAAATACTGTGGGCTTTAACTAACATTATGGCTGTCAAAGTTAACTTCAAAATATAATAAAGAACTATGTCGAGCAATCCCTTTTACGGTTTTTGGTTGCGGTAGCTTACAAACTAAGTCGGTAGAACAAAAGTCGTATGTCTCTACAGAATCATCTACAAATTTATTAGTGTTGTTAACTTGTTAACACAGGTACCTAAGTTCATTTTCATCGCCTATGCTTATGATATTTTATGTTTTTCCCTGCTACTTTTGCCAGTACAAAATCACCTCCATGAAATTGATAGTTTTCATTTAACTGGTGCAAAGTATCAATATCTAGCCATTCTCTATCTTTAGAAATGATTTACTTCAAAGTTTCATGCTGTCCAGAAGATAATGAAGGAGTTGATTCACTTTCAGAGGAATCAAGTTCTCTTTTTTCACTGTGACTTTAACTTTATGATCTTTCTTTGATACATTTTTGGTAACATTTTTAACAATCTTCAGATGATAATAATAATAATAATAATAATAATAATAAAAAAATTGATTTCATTGCTCATGTAAGTACAGAAAAAACAGTACGTAAATCTGATGCAGTGAGCAAACGGCAAGGTTCGCTTGATTGACAACCATTAGTTGTCAATCCGCGCTCTTGTTTTCATTCTAATCCCTCTTTTTCTGGCATATCCGTAAGAATACGCGACTTGCCTTTGGGACGACCACCGGTTTTCTTCCGCATAGATGCATTAGGGAATGGACGCAATCTCACAGGTATGATGACTGGCAGACCTTGTTCCGATGAAGTACAGGCAACTAAGAATGTATCCGAACTTGTAGATGGTAATGCATCCGAACTTGTGGATGGTAATGCATCACTACTGGAGATAGAGTTCTCAATTAACGGACGGTCTGTTACATAACTGGTTAGGGACTCGTGGTCTTGGAAAATGGTTTCGTGAAAAGGATAAAGACCTGCTACTTTAAACCCCTTTTGAATATTTAAAAGCGTAAAAGCATGCGGGAATGCTTCACCAATTAGTTCTGCTACGTCATATATCGTGATTGGTGGAGTGAGGTGCTTAACATCCATTCACTACAAGCTTTGTTATAGTATGTTTTTAAGGGCCCAAATACTGTTCTGTCTGAAGGTTGAAACTTGTGGCTTGAGTGGGGATGGAATGTCACTAACATAATTCCATTTGCTCTGCAAAAGTCAATCGTCGGGATGCTGATATGGCTATCATGATTATCTAATAGAACAATTATCGGTTTCTCGATATACGGCTTGCCGTGATTTGCAAAATGTTGCATAAACTGATAAAATAAATCTGCATTCGACCAGCATGATGAATTGGCTGTTCCAATCAAGCCAACTGGGCCACCATTAAGCTTATTGGTCTTGAAATGCACCCGCGGAAATATCATCATTGGTGGGATCGCGTTTCCAAGTGCATTTATGGCCACAATTAAAGTAACGTTTTGGCCACGCTCATCACTTGTTATCTGTCCAACTTGTTTAACTCCTATGGGACTAATAATTTTAGGCGGAACATGTACCGTCGTTATGCCGGTCTCGTCAATCTTCCAGATATTTTCGGCAGAAAAAAGTTCCTCTTGGCAAAAAACATTTATAATTTGCAAAAAATTTCGTTACATTAACTCGATTAACTGCCGTGGATCTCGCTAAACTGGTCGATTCAGGTTTTCGGAGAGACAGATTTGGGTGCCGTTCCATAAACTGTCTTAACCATTCCTTTCGCGCCGATTTCTTCTCATTCCAGATGTCAGGATACCGCTTCCCCTTTGCTGATGCATACTGGTAGGCTAGTTTTCTAACTTCTACCTTAGTTATCCCATAATGTAGATATGCAGCCGTGATTAAATATGTCGTCAGTGCTTCCTCCTCATTTTGCGAAGATACTTGCTTTACATTGTTATTTGCGCTGTACGTAAATCGGTCCGCTCCTTAGTTTTTAAAGGACGTTGTTTTTGATACCTCATATCGCCTTACTGCTTGCCGAAGGGCAATTCCTTGATTCATGCATTCTTGTCAATTGTTCTGAATCAACTTTCACTTCGTGGTATTTTTGAACAATTTGGAAAGAATTAACCCTTAAATGCATGATTTTTTCAGTTAAAAAAAATGTTTTCATATTTCGTAGAGTCATTTACTCTGAAAAAATAATTAAAAAAATCGCATTAAAAAATAATCATCAAGTTTAAGTTTGTAACTTTATTGGCAAAAATAATAAATACATACAAAAATGCTATTTTATATAAAAAACGCGAAAACAGTTATTTTTTGATTAAAACAGAGGTGTATTTTATACTTGGCACCTGAAACATTATATCAAACTTTCGCATGTAGGATTTTTGCACCGTCCTCTATTTGTCATCCATTTGTCAGGCCAGTGCTCAATCGCATCTTTTCTTACATCAAAAGGTGGTATTGTAGTAGCCGGATTTCTTTGTTTCTTCACTTCTAAAGCTCCTTGCATATCACTGCTTGATGGTCGCCCTCTTTCATTTGATCCCTTTCCAATTGTACACAGCATTTGAGCGACAACAATCCTAAAAGTTTTTTTCCATTAGATTAATATTTTTGGTCAGACTTTTTTTATAATGAAGCTATGTGTTTACTATCGCAACATCGATTAAGTGATATAATAATCTAAAATACCATTTTTTGGACCTCATTTTGATTTTGTGACGCCCGATATGGCTGTCAAACAGATCTACGCCACCCATATGCTTGTTATAAATTGTAGCTACTTTGGGGGGCATTTTGTTTCTTTATATTCTTTATTTTTCCGATCAAATCTTCGAACGGTCGTTTCTGGTTGCTGCCCCGAAAATGTAGACTTTAGGTTTACAATTTTATTGTCTTTCCATGATAAACAAGCGACATCTACACCATCAACATTCTCAACGAACTCAACTGACTTTCCTCTGGGTCCTGTTTCCATGTTGGTTTGCAATTTCGAATTCTATTTCGTCTTACTGTCCCAAGTGGCAAAATGCCTTGCTTGTGTAAGTAATGACGTGGAATAGTTATCAAAGCATATTTTATGCTGCTTATATTTTGGAATACTTCTCGTTAGAGGAACAAGATTTGAGCTAGCACCAAAATCTGGTTCATTTGTAGGGCTTTCATTAGGATTGTTTTTTTGCCCAGTGTATATTTCAAATACATAGGCATAATCAGAAGCTCCGCATAAAAAAATAATATGAACCCCCATTTATGTGGCTTATATGCTATATATTGTTTTAAATGGTGTCTAAGCTTGGTCGCACATATAAGTTCGTCAACAGATAAGCTTTCTTCAATAGGAACCAATAAAAATCTTTATTGTATTTTTTTTTATTATTGATCGAATTTCATGAAGTTTGTCAAATCCTGGTTGGCCTAGATGATCTTGTGTATCGTTCTTATTGAAATGCAAATTTGCACGCAATTTTTCAAAACCATTTACTGACATAACTTCCTTCACAAAATCACTTCCAGTTGCAACTGCCCAGTAGCCTCTAACATTTGTGCAATAGGAAACTGATGAAAAAATGCATATACCTAAACATTTTTGAACATCTCCACTTTTTATGGACTCCGGCTTATTGGGATCACGTTGAGCGCTATATAGGGAAGATTCTTCTGCAATTTTATAAAGCAAAGTGTCATCGAAAGTTAAACAATCGGTAAGGCGTATCCAGTTCTAAAATTTCTGTTGGCAGGGTCGTGTCACCAAGAAACTCTTTATTTGCTTGAAGAAATGTTACATTAGAGTTTTTCCATCCAAGAGTCAGTACTGCTGGTTGGCCTATTTATTGAGGGGCAACTGAAACTGGGGATTGCTGTGACATATTTCCAGAATTATCTGGAGGCTCTTCAGGCGAACTTTCGTCTGAAGAACTTTCACCTAGGTTATTTCGCGATACTTTTCAGAAGATTGTTTGCAATATCCAACAGTCCAGCATCGCCGTTTTCTTTGATATTCCTGCCACCAACAGCTCATTGTCTACTAAAGAATATAGGGTAAGGTTTCCTGATTTGGACCACTTTTCAAATATCTGTTGTATTACACATGTTAATAAATATTTCAAAATATTATCATAAATTTGGGATACCGGCATCCTTAATTGGACCATTAGCGCCCTAAATTGAACCGATGTTAAAAACCTATATTTAAAAATGAGGAACGGGTTAAAAAATATATATTAACGTAACATAAACTAATATTCACCGTTTTGTAACGGATAAACTTAACCTAAATGTAAAAAATCTGTATGTATTGTCATATAATATTATGAATCTCAATAATTTTAAGTTTTACAATTTGAACAATAAAATATCTTAGTTCTTAGCGATACATTGGCACATTTTGCATGAAACCAAATTTTACATTTAAGACACTGGATCATTTCTTCGACTGATTCAGACTCGCATATTTCACAATACCAGCTGTCAGATTTAGCTACACCTAAATTTGCTACCTTTTTTTCACAACCAATTTTCGACAATTTTAAAGTAGTTTTAACCGAATTTACTTTAGATGCCTCAGCTCTTGCTTCAAGTTCGTTTTTGTACGGAGAACTAGTCAATTCAACTGCGTGCGGCAAACTTTTGATGATTTTGATTTCTTTATAGGTAATGGCGAAATATCCTGAACTGAAATACTTAGGGAAGTTGATGCTGCTCTCTTCGTTCGTAATACGACTTGCGCCAATGGAATATTATCTTCTTCAGAAGAGGCTTCCCGTTGGGATTCATGGTTAGAGTTTGATGCTTTGTCAAACATCATTGAAGTTGCAAAATCAGTTTCTTTAAAAACATTTTCATCTATAGGCCAAATGCCACTAGCACGAAAAGCGTTCTGTGCATTTCTCACTGTTGCAGCAAGCCCATAAGCCTCTCCAATTATCCCGGAAACCTGAAACATTGATACAGTGCGACCCACGTTATTCCGCAACCATTTTTGAATGCATTGTCCATAAACATTTTGAAAGGCTCTGAAGAATCCAACATCCAACGGTTGAAGTCTGTGTGTGGTGTGACTGGGTAACTGCAATAATCTAATTCCATTATCCCTGGCAATCCGTAGAGCTTTTAGGTTTTTACTGTGGGTGCTGTGGCCGTCCAACAATAGCAAAACAGGGGTGTCAGGGCTTGGCTTAACTGTTTCAATGAAATGATTAAGCCATGTCACAAAAAGATCGCTATTGATATATCCAGTATCGCTAATAGTGACAATGCTGCCAGGCGGAGCACCTAATGAAAGTTCCTCTTGAAAACGTTTCCTCTTAAAAATTAGCATGGGTGGTACAAACTGCCCTGCTGCACTTGCATAACAAACCACAGTAGTATTTACCCCCCTCTCTCCACTAGAAATGCTCCTAATTTGATGTTTTCCCTTCTTGGCTAATATTTTCTGGCATTGCCGTTCTACGGTTGAGCAACCTGTCTCATCGACGTTGAATATGCGTGTGGCGGTAAATTTATCCTCTTCACAGATCGTTTTTAAAAGCTCATAGAATTTATCAACTCGTGCTTTGCTAAATCCTGCAGCCCTTGCCATTGATGTCTTCTCCAGCTGCCGTAATGATATTTCTTTATGTCTTGACATGAAGCCATAATACCACTTCTTACCTGCCATACGTTTATCTGTGTTGAAATTGTGTTTCAAATTGTTTCTTGTTGCCAATTCAAATGCCAGTTTGCGAACGTCTCGTATGCCCATCCCGAACATTCGCTCTTCGAAAATCAAAATATGCTTAGCCAATTCTGCTTGAACTTCTTCATTAAATACACTAAACCTGCCCATTTTTTTAATTGCATTATTTGCACGTTTGTTTTTCTCTTCGAGATGTCTTTTTAGTGTAGCTTTAGGTACTTTAAACAACCTTGCACATTCATTCAGCCCATAAGAACCATTACGAAAAGCGGAAATAGCACTGCTCAAATCTTCTGTGCTCCACTTGCCGTATTTACCACGTGATGACATTCTGAAAAAAAAATCTATCAAGAACTAAATGGGACTGGTTTAATTCACAATATACGGTTGCCTAAATTGGACCGGTCCAATTTACAAGTCAATTGCTGGTCCAATTTAGGAAACCTTGTTCTAAAACTAAACAATATCAAATTTCACCCACAACGGGTTTTACCAATTTGGAGGTTAGGTCACGAAAATAATCCCTAAACTATGGCCTCTTTAATGAATCTTGAGAAATAAAGATATTATATATGTTGTGATTACTTACTTGAACGGTAAGTAGTAGTATCTTTGTATCGAAAGTTAAATAATGTCGAAAACACTTATATTTTCTTAACCGTTGTTTATAGCTGCACACGTGTTGAAACTCTAGCAGAGACTCTAGCAGCAGTGTTGCCAGAATTTATGATCGAAGTGTACTAGCCTTGAGCCGAAAAATGTACTAGATTATAATAAATTGTACTAGATTCAGTTTAAGCTGCTGCTCACACTATTTACTATTTTTAATTATAAAATACATGTGAGGATAAATAGGAAATAACAGGCAAAATAATATTATATATATATATATATATATATTTAAAAACTGAATATAAAACAAAAAACAATATAAAAACTAGATCTAAGGAATCATATACCTAAAACTAATAAAATAAGTAAACATAATAAAAATCAAATTAAAATCTTTGGTATTCTTAGGAACTAAACAGAACAACCATTTTTTATACATATAATAATAATATATGTACACAGAACACAGAATGTTCGAAGGTACACAAGGTATTTTTTTGGGGATGATTGACATTTTGACACACCACACGAAGTGTCATAATTTATTTGTAAACAATCTGTCTACGACAAAGAGACTGTGACGGTTCCCAAGAATAACAGAAGCATTCTCCTAAATTTCCTTTTGCATGTAAAATATCATTAAGTGTTTCTATCGTCAATCTATTTCTTAATTTTGTTTTTAACAAAGCCACTGTTGAAAATATTCTTTCGGCCGCTGCTGAAGAATGCGGTAGAGATAACAAACCTATTATCAGCTTTTCTAAATGTGGGAACATGTCCTCGTTCATTGCATTTTTTAGTTTTAAAACTTTAGACCAGAAATCGTCAACTGAATTTTGATCTATGTTCTTCAGCTCTGCAATGTCTGGTAGAAGGCGCCATTCAGAATTGAGTTTCTCTATGTCGGAAATTAAATTTGGGAAAAACATTTGAGCATCTAACGCAATGCTACCAATCTCACCTGATAAGGCGATCTGTGGATCCAACACATAACTTATAAATTTGAGAACTGGGTCATCAAAATTGAATCGTTTTTTGATCTGTTGGGAGAGTTCGATATAAAATTCCAGAACTCGTAATTTAAAGTTATGAATATCTTGCTTGCAAATATTAGGGTTACTCAGTAACAGTTCTGTTTTGGCACCAAAATATACATTTTCTAATGGAATAAATGATCTTGGATCATTTGTATCAATTTGATTCAATGGTTGGTTATCTAGAATTTTTTTTTTAACAAAATTCCTGAGAATTGATCTATATAAATCAGATGTTCGTTTTAAAAGCAGATGCAATTTTGGTTTCTCAGCTTGGAATTCTATATTCAGTTTATTTACCTGTTCTAATACATAGGAAAGGAAAGTAAAATATACCTTGAATATTGGATTTTCCAAAGAGTCCATAATACTTTTGGTAGCATGAAGATCTTCCAAATATTCACTCTGAAAAAAAAGTCTAAGGGCATCCCAGTTCTCTAGCAACCTATCGACAGCAGCCTAAAAAAATAAAGATTCAACTGATACATCTTAGTTCACTGTAGAAATATATAGTTAGTCTTACTTGCAAAGATAACCAACGTGTCTGACAAGGGTGTAAAATTTTATGTGGTTTTAAGTCTACAAACTTCTGAAATTCTTCCAGCTTCTCCTTTCTTTTACTACTATGTGCAAAGTAGTTATATATAGACCTTATGAAATCCTCCAATGTTCTTGGTAACTTTTTTGCTGCTGCTGAGGAGCATAAGTGAAAAGAATGGCAGACACATCCGAGAATAAAAATATTGGGCAATATGGTTCTAAATCTTGCTTGGACCCCTGAGATATGGCCCATCATTACTGATGCATTATCTGCTGCCAATCCCAACATGTTGTCCAAAGGAATGTTAAGTTGTTTTAAGTGATCACATATAGCTTTAAATAGACTTTCTGCATCTGCTGAGAGTACCCTGACCAAACCCAAGAACGAGGGGCAATCCGCAGACCTAAATTGTGTACACCAATGCACAATTTAGGCATTACTCTCGATTTTTTTTCGTAATGCCCCTAATTCCTGTGTTAATTCCTACTAATGCCCTCTAATGCCCACTAATACCCAGTAATGCCTTGTAATTCCTAGTAATGCCCTTAAATTCCCAGTAATTCCTACTTAATAATACCATGTAATGCCTTATACAAAAATCCAAAACTTATATCCAGCATATAAAATACCGCAGGAAAATTTAGTTGCAAATATTTCTATTATTAAAAAAATTATTTGAAAATAACTAAAATGAAATTGAAACTTTGATACCCTGTATCTCGCAAACCATCAACTTTTGGTCTAAGGTAAATTGCGTTAGATCGTTGTAGTTTGGCCCGAGGAATTTGTGATAGCATTTTGTACAGACCTTTTAGAGACACCCTGTATATATATATATATATTTTATGAACGCAAACGATTACAAAACATTTTAAAATAAAAATGATTATGTCTAATATGTTATTATAATGATCAGAATTCAATAACTAAAACACTCCAGCGGAATTCCATATCGTTGAATTCAAGATTCAAAAAAAGTAACAAAGTATAGGTACTTAATAATAACTAAATAATTATTACACCTACAAAAGAAATAAGTGGTATCAAACAAAATAAGAACATTTTACACTTATTAAATAAGATTATATAACACATTTACACTATTTTTTTATTATAACCCCTGGTGACGTATACCACATTTTTTGCCAGTCAGTGTAATATTCTTCCTTTAAAATGTTTGCTAACATTCCAGTGTTTACGTTCCACTAATTGCTCAAAGAGTCCTTACATTTATTTTATTATACATTAAACTAATAATAGAATAGCGAATGTCCCCAAAGAATCTCTTAGATGTAAACAAAAATAATAATAATCTATGCATAAGACATGTATAAATAAAATCAACGAACAAGTCCTGAATTATTATAGTATACTTAAATGTCATTAACATAATGAAAAATTGAAAATGAACGTATTTTGACAAATTTAGATATTTTATAAAAGCAGTGTGAAGATATCTATTTACTTTTAAATTCTTTGTATTTCTTTTCTATATTTAAAAGATCATATGTTTTTAATTGAAAGGGTCCTGAGCCAGAGAGATTTATAGGTCCGTAAAAAATAAACTCTTTTTCCACAAATGCAATATCTTCTATTCTGGGCCAAGAAAATACGTTTAGCTCCTTTTTAAGAAACTTCATTTTTACATCTGAATCATTTATCTCTATAACTCGGCCAATATAATACTTGCTATCGTAAAATACCGCGTAATAAGTATCTATTATTATATTAATAATTTCGTGATCTTGCTCACTCAGCTCCTGGTTGGTCTCTAACTCAGTCTCTAAGTCTGAAAACGTTTCAGAATCATCTGATGTACTGTCATGGAGTGTAACTTCCGAAAACGATCCATTAGACGAAGAGTTTGATTCGGCGCTTACTCTTTTCTTCTTTCTGTAAACTTTTTTTGTACCTGGATTTTTTTTCTTGATTTCTTTTTTTGTATTTGTTTTATTCTTGGTTTTATTATTGATAATAAACCGTTTCAACCTATCATTGCTTATTTTTCCTTCATTTTCATCAAGCAACCAAATATATGACGATTTTTTTATTACCACTGTTTTTTCATTCAGCTCTAATTTTAAAAAATTTGAATGTTCATCTACATTTTTGATTTTTCTTGAATAGTCTCGGAGTTCTAATTTTTCCATTCTATTGCTACTTTCTGCTTGACTTTCGGGTTCGTTTTCCGATATAGAATGTATCTCTAAATCATCAGTTCCATCTTGTAAAAAGAAACCTTCATCGATTTCTTGTTCTATTTGGTCGGTATTATCACCAAAACTGCTGCTCTCTTCTAAATTTAAACATTCATCGAAACGCAATGGAATGTGAATTTCGTTCCAATCCTTTTCGGTTGGTTCTATTCCCAAATCTTTGGCTTTGGAAATTGCATCTTTTAAAGATTTTGATACTATCTCTTCAATATCTAAATTTAGAAACTCGTCAGTAGTAGGGAAGTAAATATTTTTTTTTAAGGTTTTTCCTTCTCGTGGAAA